ATCCGCACCCCCCTGCACAGATGAGCCCTCTCCTGCCCCCAGGGCTGTGCCGCTGCCCACTGCCCCTGCCTCAGCGAGGCTGGCCGTCCCCTCACCTGGATAGCCTCCATCACTTCCAGCTGGAAGAAGTGAAGCGTGTCCCGTGCGGTAGAGCTGGTGCTGGTGCTGCAGATGGTGCAGATGGAGGCCAGAAACCTCCGTTTCTGGGCCTCTTGCTGCCAGCCGGGAAAGGAACAGATGGACAGACAGGGTTGGGGGGAGGGACAGCTGTGGGGGGGGCCAGCACAGCCCCCAGCACCTTGTGAGCACAGGATGGGGGCAGACAGACTGGCCAGGAAACACAGTCACAGCCTCGTAGAAGTGGGCACAGATACCTTTGGTCTGCTCCTGAGGAAGGCGTGGATGGTGTTCAGGGCACTCGTTTCTTCCCTGGACAGAGCCAAGTCGGAGCAGCATGGATCTGACTGAGAGAGCAAGCAGGGCTGAGGGGAAGGCAGGGGGCAAAACCCAAGCCCTCTGGCCAGCTGCTGGGGATGTCTCCAGCCCTGGCTCAAGGCTGGGACATTGGTGTTCCCTGTGCCCACCAGGGGCGAGGGCACGATGTTGGAGGGCAGCACAGGGAGGGGGCCCCAGCGTGCCTGGGTGGGGGATGCGCTGTCATCAGGGGGCAGGGAGGTTCCCTGTCCCGGGATGCCGTGGTGGGACTGGCTCCCTGGGAGCCCTGATGCCAGCCTGGCTGGGGGGTACAAGCCTGGCACAGGGCAGGGCAGGGTGGGCAGCCCCCTGCCCGCAGCGCCTGCACACTCACCCGCCTGCAGTGGCTGGACCTTGCACATCTCGCGGGGCTTCGGCCCAGAGCTGGGAGTCGGGGTAGCTCTGACCTCCCCCCAGGCTTGCCTGGGGTGTCTGTCCACCATCCTGCGGGAGGCAGGGAGAGGGAGGAAAGGGGTGAGGGGGACCCTGCGCCCCCCAGGGCTGCTCTGCCAGGGGTGGTGGGGCAGAGGCGGCTGTGCTCAGGGGGCTCCCTGCTCCCACCCTGTCCTGACCCCTCCTCCTAGACGCTGTGGGGGCAGGGCTGGGCGACACAGGGTGTCAAAAAGTGCCCCAATGTCACCCCCCTCCAGGGGGGCACGCCCAAAGTGCACCTCTTCCCCCTGCCCTGGGGGGGCACCGACTGGGACTGACTCCCTTTTCCTCCTCCTCCCGCTATGGGGCTGGGGCTCACCTGTACTGGGGGCCACCCCCTTGGCACAGGGCCCCCTCTGTCCCCTCGCTCCCGGGGCCACCCCCACCCGCGGCCGGGCTGCGCCGGGGCACAGTCCCCA